TCTGCACATGTACCCCAGAACCTAAAGTGCAATAAAATATATTTTAAAAAAACACACAGCTGCATTCCAATAAAACTTTATTTGCAAAAATAGGAAGCTTCCCCACAGGTTGGATTTTACCCGTCCCTATTATGTGATCATGATTGTGAATAAAGACAGTTTTACTTCTTCCTTTCAACCCAGATAGCTTTTATTTCCTTTTCTTGCCTAACTGCACTGGCTTCAGTACAATGCTGCTCAAATAGTGAAAGGAGACTTTCCTATGTTCCTGATCTTACAGGGAAAGCATTCAGTTTTTCATCATGATGCGTGTTAGTTGTAGATTTATCAGAGATGCTCTTTATCATGCTGATGGCCTTCCCTTGTATTCTTTAGTTACTAAGGGGAATTTTTTTTTAAAATCAGGAATGAATGTTGTATTTTATCAAATGCCTATATCTACTGAGATGGTCATATGGTTCTTCTCTTTTAGTTTGTTAATGTCATGAATAACTGATGTCAAACCAACCCTGTGTTTTGGGATCAACCTCACTTGTTTATGATGTATTATCCTTCTAATATATTAGATTTGCCAAAATTTTATTTAGAAATTTTTAGAAGACTATCTTTTAGAGTAGTTTTAGCTTCACAGCAAAACTGAAAGTAAGGCACAAAGATTATCCCTGTACTGCCTGCCCCCCACATGTTCATAGCCTCCACAATTATCAGTCTCCCTCACCAGAGTGGTACAGTTGATCTCATTGATGATCCTGAATTGACATATCATAATCACCCAAAGTCCATAGTTTATATTAGAGTTCAGTCTTGGTGTCTTAATTGCTGTGAATTTAGACAAAGGTATAAGGACATGTATTTATCATTGTAGTATTATCCAAAGTAGTTTCAGAGTTTTAAAACTCCTTTGTGCTTCATCTGTTCATCTTTTCTCACCTTCCCCAACTCCTGGCTACCACTGATTTTTTTTTTTTTACTGTCTCTATAATTTTGCCTTTTCTAAAATGTCATATAGTTGGTGTTATACAATGTACAGCCTTTAGACTGCATATTTCACTTGGTAATATGCCTTTGTGTTTCCTTCATGTCTTCTCATGACATGCTAGCTCATTATTGCATGGCTGTACCAGAGGTGGTTCTGTCACCTAAAGGAGGGTATCTTGGTTTCTTCAGAAATTGGTTAAATTTTTATGTCCA